TATAACATGCTTTTAAATCAAATACGGTCTGAAGATGGTCATCCTGAAAATCTGCTGCGTAACTCATTTTATCAATTTCAAGCAGATCGTGCACTTCCTGATCTTGAGGTTTGTCAATTGACTCAACTCCCGGCTCTCTCTCTCTCTGAAATTCTTCTGAGATTTGCCTTTTTTTTTTCCTTATTCTTGCCAGAAACAAGCAAAGATTCTTGAAGAGGAGAGAAAGTCAATTGTGATTGAAGAAGAAGACAGCCTTGAGAGATATTATAATCTGCTAGAACAATATAAGAGCTTGAAGAGGGATGTACGTGGCACTGTTTTTTCTCCAAAATATTGCTTACCTTTCCTGCAGCCTGGTAGGCTTGTATGCATTGAGTGTACAAAGGTTGATGTTGATGTTCCAACCTTCTCCATCAATGAAGAGGTCACATGGGGAGTAATAGTTAATTTTGAAAGGGTGAAAGGGATTTCTGAAGGTGAGGATTTGATTCGGCATCAGTTGAGCTCTTTTGTTAGTTAGATTCCTTAACCTTTAGTTCAACGTTCATGTTCAGATGATGCAAACAAAAAACCGGAGGACGCGAACTATACAGTAGATGTACTCACGAGATGTATAGTGCAGAAGGATGAGGTGGGTAGAAAGACAATTAAAGTCGTTCGGTTGAAAGATGCTGGGGAACCAGCTGTTGTCTCTCTTCCTTTGTCCCAGGTAAGCTCCTTAGGCTTATTTGGCAACTAGAAAATCTGATAATGAGTATTAGATTTAGTAATTTAAGATGATGAATTGCGACAAGAGTCTTGAAACTGTACCAAGCCTTCGTGTGTGTTCTACTAGGATAACTTCAAACTTACACAACCAAGGGTGTGGCCTAATGGTCAGTGAAATGGGATGAAACTATGAAAAACTGAGGTTAAATCCTTGTAGAAAGGAGTAAGCCCAAGAACCACCATTAGGACCCTAACAACAAGAAACAAGGTCGGGATTTGGTGCAGCACCTTCAGTTCTTGCACCTTTGGTTGAACTGTGAAAGGAAAGGATCCTTGGTGGAAAGGTTACTTTCAATTGCATGCCCTTTGCTTTCTTTCTGCATGTGAATGCTTTGATTTTCATAGATTTTGAAGATCTTCTCATCTGTTCATATGTTGCATGTATCATCTATCTGGTAGGTCATGAAAGAAAATATAGAAATGGTCGATGACATACATTTAGGTCTTTTACACTGACAATCACGCAACTTAAATGTATGCTTGTTGTTCTGTTTGTGTGGCTTAGCTAATGTGTTTCCTGCTATAAACAATTAATTGACAGATTGATAGTTTGAGCAGTGTCCGTCTTGTGATACCAAAGGATCTTTTGCCTTCAGAAGTTCGAGAAAATACACTAAAGAAGGTTTCTGAAGTTCTCAATAGATTTTTAAAAGAGGGCATGCCTCTTTTACACCCAGAAGATGACATGAAGGTCAGATGCAGTCTATGTCTCTCTCTCTCTCTCTCATTTGATAATATATTAGCTTGGTGTTCATTCTATGCATGTTCTGCAGGTTCAAAGTAGCTCGTACAGGAAGGCTTCGAGTAGGATAGAGGCACTGGAGAGTCTGTTTGAAGAGTATGAGATAGCGAAGTCTCCCCTTATAAAAGAGAAGCTTAAGGTTTTGCATAAGAAGAAAGAACTTACTAGCAAAATCAAATCAATCAAGAGAACATTGCGTACTTCAACTGTCTTAGCTTTCAAAGATGAACTTAAAGCAAGGAAAAGAGCTCTTAGAAGACTTGGGTAAATTTACTTGTCTATCTTACCGACCTCGTATTGTTTTTGCTGATTGGCTCTGTTTCTTCTTTGAAGCTGCGCTGTGTTGGCTATTGCATCTGTCAAAATTAGAGGAGTATACATGCTGTTAATATTGTTATTGCTCTTGTATCTTACTGCTATCTTTCCATTGTTGAACTGCTTTATCTTCTTCTTTTTTTCTCTTTCTACTTCAGAATTACATTTCCATTTTGTTGTGCCCTTTCTAAGGTGTAGTAACATTCAAAATGTTTCTAGTGTTATAATAAACCCATCACCTCCTGAATAATTACTGTAATTCTGATCCTTCCTTTGATATGTCGTTCTTTGGTGGGTGTATTTGGCTTTGACAATGTCGAAAATGAGCCACAAATCAGTAGCCTTCTTTGAAGAGAAAAACCATGGGGAGAAATGATGTTATCCTATTTCTCTGTTGCAAGGAAAATGCTGTTTAACTTGGGATAATAATCAACGCAAGAGACCTCAAAAGAGTTATTAAACCATATTTGTTTCTGCAACGCACTTTGGTCCCTCTGTTTGGTATCATACTTGCTTCTTCATCATGTTCTCTGTTCTCTCGGTTTCTTGCTCTGGAATTCTTCTGTTCTTTATGACTTTGCTATTTTTGTGGATTGCATGGAAGTGCTTATAAGGTTGGGGTTTATGCAGATACATCAGGGATGACGTTGTGTTGCAGAAAGGGAAGGTAGCCAGCGAAATCAGCAGTGCAGATGAGTTGACCTTGACTGAATTGATGTTGAATGGGACCTTCAGAAATATTAAAGTGGAGGATATGGTCTCTCTTCTCTCTTGTTTTGTTTGGCAAGAAAAGCTTCAGGATGCTCAAAAGCCCCGGGAAGAGCTTGGGTTGCTCTTTGCACAATTACAGGATACAGCTCGGCAAGTGGCAAAAGTTCAGCTCGAGAGCAAGGTATGTGTAATCTGAATGATTGTGCTGATAAAGCTTTGATAATTATGATATAGAATACCATAGCTGAATGAACATGTTTTACTGTGGTATTATCTTTCAGTTTTTCGGGTTCAATTGAGCACATATGTATATCCACACTGCTTTGAATTTGTAACATCTGAATTGAGAAGCTAATCAACGAAGACCCTCTATATTCCACAACCAAAAGAACAATTATTGTTGTTATGTCAAGTATAGATTTCTTGTATACCATTGTCTTACTCTGTTGTGCTTTCAATAGGTTCAAATAGATGTTGAGAACTTCGTGAGTTCTTTCCGACCTGATATCATGGAGGCCGTCTATGCCTGGGCTAAAGGATCTAAGTTTTATGAGATTATGGAAATGACTCCGGTGTTTGAAGGCAGTTTAATCAGGGCTATCAGGAGATTGGAGGAAGTTCTTCAGCAGCTAATACAAGCTGCAAAATCCATTGGGGATATCGTGCTTGAGGCAAAATTTGAAGAGGCTGTTACCAAGATCAAGAGGGATATTGTCTTTGCTGCATCTCTATATTTGTAGATACAAAATTGAAGTATTTCTGCAAATGCTCCAGTTACAAAGGTTAGGTTAGATGGGTGTGGTGCCACTAAATTATGCCCTTAAATTGTTGTATGGTAGCTCATTATTTATATTTTATCTAAAATCGAAACCAAATTAACTATGAGTTTACATCTTTTTTTGTTTCAATTTTGTTGTTTTTTCGGGGAATTTCCCCACATGAAAATTCAAATTTATTCTCTGCCATCTACTGGAGCTAAAGACACTACATTTCTGACATACATTATTTGAGAAATATGGGTATGAGACATGGCAATATTCACCTTCATAAATAAGAAAACAACCTTACCATCCATATATTTATACAACTGTTTTATTACTTGCTATTAAATATATTAAAAGTATGTTGCCAACAATACTGAGAGTTTCCAGATGGAGGCAAATGCAATGACAAACCAAATCTTAGCTTTGCTGAGTCCATTATACAGCTTACTTCAGTTCTCGAATATGGAAGCAAGGAAAGAAGCAACGGAACAAATGAGCTCCAAAATTGATCACACATCCAAAAGCTCCACCAGCTCTCTCTGTTCTTACAGGTACGCCATACACTTGATTCTGAACCATATACTGTTGAGGCAAACTATGATCTGACAGTGTTGGTTTTGGTTGATTGATTTCACCAACATTATCGATGTGCTGAGAAATAGTACTACCATTAGGTTGATTTGAATTGTCTGATGTTGAACCTGAAACTTGCTCTGTTGTGTAAATTGAGTTATCATATGGCTGCACGTACTCGAACCAAGGTGGCAAGGGCGGTGCAGACGGCTGAACTGGGTAATTATAAGGGCAGTGGCAATAGCATGGGAGGATTGGTGGTGGCGGTGATGGTGGTCGCTCAAGGAGAGGAACTCTCTTTTTCTTCTTCTTTTTTGACCAGAACTTGAGCTTCTTCATGGCTTTTGTCAATTTCATAGGCTTAGAGGGTGTGTGCCAAAGATGATTTTGGTATAATGTGTTATAACCAAAGTGGCTAAAAAGGGGACTTGTATCCGTTTAAAAAGAGAATGAAATGATACATAAAGGGTTTTTTTTTCAAATTTCATGACCGTTACCCTTTTTGCCAAGCTAGTAGCTCCACCAACTTTTTGCAAATACTAGTAAATGTTAGGGCTAATCTTGGATTATTTTGCTCACTTTTTCGGCTTGTGATTTAGAGTGAATATGCATTTTTTATTTTAAAAATGTCACGTGACTTTAAAAAATTATCTCACTAAATTTTTTACTCTTCCAAACCCGACCCAACTATAAAAACTCAATTCCTCATTTATGCAGTCATAGTTGTGATGACTGAATAGGAAAGTGATTGAGATTTTTTATTTGGGTTGGGTGTGGAGGAGTAAAAAAAAAAAATAGGGTGAGATAATTTTTCACACAATTTTATTAAAAAATCAACTTCAGGATTTTATTTTAAAAAAAAAATCGGTTAATATAGGTCTGTTACCAAAAAGAAGCACATTTGTTAGATACAACCGATGTATATATGCATCATTTGTTACCCAATGAGTATATATATATATATATATATCATTTTCTCCTATTGAAGGATATAGCAATCGCATAGTTAAAAGGGTATATTTATCCTTTTTCCCTTTAAATTGGAATTCAACAGCTTATACGAAAGATTAGATAGTAACATTCTACAATAAACAATTTTTTCCTTAAAAAATGGAAAAAAACATATTGATAGATCATACAAGGGAGATAATAATATAACACCAAAATTAATTCAATATTCAACAATTAATACAAAAAGGTAATAATATAATGATGATTATCACAAAAATTGAAATGAAATCAGAGAAGCAACTGCTAACAATACTGTCATGCTTATAGTGATCCCCACTGAGTTTCCAGCAGAATTTGATGCACCTGAAACCAACAACACAAATTCCAAATCAAATATAAGAATTTTAATAGTAATAGAGAATCGTGAAATTATTTTATCGTATATTTACAATTGAAACATGCTCTAATTCGAGTGACGTACCTTTAAGACACCCCATATAATTAACAGGCTGCCCACATTTAGCAGGCAACATTTGTGCCTCATTAACATCAATCCCAGCTTGTTCTGCTGCTTTACTCCCTTTAACACTTACCATTTGACATAAACATTCAGGCATTTTTCTAATTACTTCTTTTAATGGATTGCAACAACTTTGTGGTGGATCCCCTTTTGCTCCATTTAAATAATTCATACATGGGAGTAATTTGCTCATACATGATGAATCCCTATTTTGACTCATTCCTTCTTGCACCATTACTCCAAAAAACAATACTATCATCATAAAATATTTCATCTCCATTAATTTTTCGATACGATTTTGATCTTTTCTTCTTTGATTTTCTTGGTTATATGTTGTGTTTATATACTTCTTTTGGGTGTTATATGTTTTATTTTTGACTTTGGATGTATATGCATGGTTGGAGTTGTTGATCTAACAGTGTCTCTATGAGTTTTGACTTTTAAAAATATAGTTAAGATAAGTTGAGCTACTTTTAGTTGTACATATTTTGTTTATTCATTTTTTCTATTCTTAGGTTACCACCAAAAATTGGTAATTTAGATCTAGAACCTGTTTTAGATTGACTTATTTTACATCAAAATAGTTTTTAAGTACTTCTTTAATGTTTGGATAAATTTAAAAAATAATTGTAAGCATTTATTTTTAAACTAAATGATAAAAATAAGTCAAACCAAACAGACTCTTAATTTGATGCACACATTGATAAATATTGACATCTACATACAACTCTAAAGAGTAATTCACAATAGCTTAAGATCTGATTAAAGAATAAAATTTAACAAAAACATTATAATTTTAAAAGAAGTGTTTGGAAAAAGCTTCTCTTTTTCTTTTCGGGAAAAACTATAATCTCTTCCCTCAATAATGCATGTGATCATTATTACGCGGCGTATTAAGACTAAGTGAAAACACGACTGATCCTCTTAGTATTGAATTAGGGGAAAATGATAATTATATAACACTCTAAGAACTAAAAATAAAATGATTTTCAACAATCATAAAAAAGAAAGATTAACATAATGTTTTCTAGCAATTTTCGGAGTAAAAAATGGGTATTTGGGTCGAACAAAAGTGGGTGCCGGCCCATAAGCTGTAGATGATAGACTAGATCCATTGGGCCTCAAGAAGGAGCCCAAAACGAATCAGCCAATCACAAGCTTTAATTTGCTTGACTACTGAATTTACCTGAATGCCCCAAGCAGTCACTTTCATCATTTTGGGACCAAAATTTTCAATTATTTAATGTCGTAATTATTTGTCGTTTTGTCTCTTAATTTTCTTACTTTTGTTTGATTAGTTTCTCTTTCTGTTGTTTTTGTCCCTTTTATATATTTCTATGTGTTGCACGTGGGATGAGTTGTGTGTTGTGTTCTCTTCATTTTAGTTTGTCTATATTTTTTTTTTGTCCCTTCTGTTTTTTTTTTTTTTGTTTTTTTATTTGTTAGGCTATTATTTTGATGGACGTCTATTTATGTCAATTTCTCGATAAATAGTTATGGATCAAGGTTACTAAACAAAGGCCCATTCTTTGTGGACTGAGGTTACATTGTATGGCCCAAATCCAATCATGGGTTCAACTGTTCAAGTAAGGAGCCTAAGATGTATTTTTTGAGAGGGCATATTTAGAGCGTTGTTTATGGATTCGTGTGAATTTGATAGTTTTTGTATTGATTATGTATATATATATTAGAAAATCTATTAAATATTTGTCTCTTAATCCAGATACTAGTATATATTAACTTGAAATTGTAATAAAAACTTATAAACTCCAAATTATGAATTCACCTCTAATTCTAAAGGATAAGGTATAGAGCGTAAATTGTTTATCTGTGAAAATATTTTTTTAATCATATTAAAAAGGTTGTAAAGCTATAATTCATTGTTCTAAGAATATAACCATTCAAGAATATGGATAGTAAAGTTGTTTGACAATTTGAACGCTCGAACATTTTACTTTAACGTGATAGTTTGATTCCTCATCTTATAATGTTCTCTCCATAAACATAAAATAAAATAATCATATGGTCAAAGAAATTTATGTTTACTAAGACCTCAAAACTTTGTACCGACTACATGTTTATAAATTATACAGATCGAATTATGACAATAAATCAACGTAACTTATAAAGATTAAATTATATGTGCCACTTCATCACACCATATGTCATCTCCTTTTTTTCCTCCTTTCTCCCCAAAATAATGTATTGACGCGGAAATAATAAAAAACTTTGACTTTATTCGAAGAATCTTAATGGCATAATTTCTTTTGAATAGTATTTTGTCAAAATTGCTACTTCCTCCATTTACTTTTTTTTCATATATAATTTTTTTTTTTAACAAGGAAAAAAGGTTTTTCTTCTTTTTATATATATGTGTGTGAGAGATCTTATTATGTTATAATATTTTGAAACGTGTAATTTTAAATATGTCATATAAGGTGATATTTTTCTTTCGATAATCATTTGTTTTATGTGAATATAAATCATTGATTGGTTTATTAGTGAAGTGCACAAACCGGGGCCGACATCTAGTCTTAACTTGTTTACTTATTTTTTTGAAATTGCAGGGTTGGTGAGATGTGACTTGTAATACTCTTTATTCGATGAATATTTCCATAACCTCCTTCTTCTTTACTTTTATTTTTTTTTCTTTCTCAAATACATCATTTTCATCACTCTGTTGTTTTTATCAACCATGTGGTAAACGATATCTTATTACGAATTAGTCAATGTTCAGTTACAACAACCATATATTAATACAAATTTAGGAAGACTTTTGAAATGTGTGGTATTAATATAAATCTTACACATTAATATGACTATAATTAAGAGTTAAAAATAAAAATAAAAAGTTGAATTAAATGTGGCATTTTTTGTAAGACGACTAAAAGAAAGTGTCACATAAATTGAAATCTTTTCAAAGTCAAATCACCATTATTTCAACACGATCGTAGAGTAGGGGACCACCATAGAGAATTGAGGGTTTTTAGGAAAGAAGAATTAAAGACTAAATACACGAATTGCAATTTTAAAGAAAAATCAATTTCAGCTATCGACTGGATTGCGGTAACATAACAAACAATACAGAAGTTGAAAGAAAAATGGGAGGTAAACAGTAAGAACCAAAGTCTATAACTGTGTGTGTTAGTTATTATTAGAAGAATATTTGACCATGATCCTTTCAAATGAGTACCTTTTACTAAATATCTAGAAACGCGTTTTGTGAAGTAGAAGAGATGGGAAAAAGAAATGTGAGGATATTGATTAATCATGAAACACACATCTGCATAAATAATACTCCTAAATCATGAAAAAGATACCTAAATAAATACAAATAATAATGTAATTGCAAAGGCTATTTTTTTTTATAATAATATATACATAAGCCATCTTTGTCATAACATGACTTTATATTTAAACAAAAAGGCATAAAAAAGAAATGCAACAGAAAGTATCTATCTCTCCACATCTCCCATTAGATTAGAGATGGGTGCAGACAAACTTTTTTCTGAGGTCCAAACAAGCAAAGCATCATAAGATTCTCCTTTCTTGACGAAATCATAACAATAAGATAATACTAAGATGGAGAATCCTATCTGTTATGGCATCACTCTCCTCAGAAAATACATTAAAAATCAAAAGCCGATCCTTTTTTTTTTGTCTTGCCAGCCAGCCACCATCCATAACTGACCACCCATATGCCAGTATGGGATAATTGCATCACTTACATTCCCCAAAAAAAAACCAAAACTATTGACTCATGTCAGATCCATTCTTTCCCCACTCCTCTACACATTATGGGTATATCAAGTACCTGGACCCACTTCCTATGCTTTCTCCTCGTTGCTAACAATACCAGCATCTGAAACTGGTTTCACGTCGTCAACAGGAAGTTTGATCTTTGGTGAAAGTTTTTTCGCTTCCTCAGCTGTGTAGACGTAAATTTTTCTAACCATGCTGCAGAATTCACTGTACCACATTTCCATTACACCAAAAGAATCAAAGTCAGTAGGACTTGAGAAACTACATCTCAGAAGTAAATTTCTGTAATCCAACTATGTAACAAGTAAATTTAAGAAAGCATTAAAGTAAGATCACAGTGGATTAAATATGAAAGACAACTGATGAAACTGATTGTCTATGAGCCACATTACTCCGAAGCTATCTATACGCAAGGAATATTGAATGTTTAAGCACAAAATGTAATGCACCCCTCACTTTCAACCCAAAGGTTGCGAGTTCGAGTCACCAAGGGAGCAAAAGGAGTGGGAGCTCCTAGGGAGGGATTAAAAATAAAATAATAATAATAATGCAAAATAGAACAATGAAAATATAACTAAGGTTGTCAGACTTACTGCCATGGGTCATCTCCAACCATCATCATGTCGTCCTCGTTATCCGTGTAGACTACCTGCCATTTCTTGGTTGATCCACGAAGTTCACCTTCAATCTCGAACATCTCCTCCAATTTCTTAAGCAGATCTTCATAACTATCTAATCTTGTGAGATCAACTGCCCTCCCAACTGCCTTCCCTTGCATATGCACCTACGGAGAATACCAAGAAGCTCAATCAAACAATGAACTCCAATTTGGCAAAACAAGGGCACCACAATCATTTACTTGTGGAAGAGAGAATTCCGAACAGAACAAAATATAGACTAACGTTAGGTGTACCTTAGTGCAACTCCGGATTTGTTTGCTTTGAGACTCGTGGGTAGACCTCAGAGATGACTTTTCAGGCTCACAACTTACTGAAGGAATTGGATTTGATGGTTCGGAGTTTCGGTCAGAATCAACATTTAAAAATGGAGCTGGCAGATCCTCCATTACAGCACTTGGCATGGCAACCGATGAGGATTCGTCTATGGTTGGACAATCCCGCAACTCAATTCCGAATAACCTACATCCATTAGCCGGTCTCTTTTCACTAGCAGGTGCAACAGACTCTGTACATGTCTCCGATTGACTTGACCAGTACATCGTTTTGGTAGAAAGAGGCATGGAACCATTCTCACCATAACCCAGGCCCTTTGCGGCAGAAGAAAGTTTGGGTGAAGGGTAGAGATCTCGCCCACGAGACGGATCACAGTACGAGAATGATGAAGGAGAATCTACAGGAGACTTCCACATTCCTACAAAATGAGTTGTCAATGAGAATGTGTGTACATTAGAAGTAATAATCATACAGCACAGGAGAAAGATTTCAGACCTAAAGCAGGAAGTTCTTGCACTGGCGACGGTAAAACTGACGGTCGAGCACGCTTATTTCTTTGAGGAGGCTGGGTGTTTGTAGGTGTTGCTGCGACAAGTGGTTCCA